CTGGAGACAGGATAATGATTGGAAGGATAAATTGTAGGCTGAGGTAACAGTTAAGAAGAATATAAAAATAACCTATTAAAACATGGTGAAGATTTAGACTAAATATATGTGTATGGGTTTATTTATATTTAAGATAAAATGAGAGAGAGAGGAATTATTGAAATTTATTTTGAGTGAGAAAGGACTCAAAGAAAATAGTAACATTGACTTTCATTAAATGAAAATATGGAGGAACACATTTAGGATGAAAATATAGGACTTATGTCAGAGAATAAAAAATAAAGGGAACTAGACAGAAGAATTTCAAAATTCAAAACAAACACCTGCCAGAGAGGGAGGAGAGCAGGAAAGAGAATGGGAAAGAGAGAGAGAAGTCAGCGGCTGTCAGAGATAGGAACACTAAGAGGGAAGCTCCTTTATGTTGGCCATGGCAGGATATGGGTAGAAATGATCAGCTATAGGGGTTGCACTGAAAGAGGGAAGTCTTGTATCTAAATAAATATGCTGACCGCCTTTCTTTCTTAGGAAGTATATAGTATCAAATGACAGAAAAAACATCAGTATGAAAGTCCTTTTACTGTTGTGTATAGCAAATTTAAGCAAATACTTGAATTATTCATGGGAAAAATTTGTATTATTACAGAGCACAAGTCTTATCATCTGGAATCCGTAGAAAATTAGACGATTGACCTTGTAATTTAGCCTAGACTTTAGAACAGCGGTTCTCAACCTGTGGGTCGCGACCCCTTTGGCAGTCGAACGACCCTTTCACAAAGGTCGCCTAAGACCATCCTGCATATTAGATATTTACATTATGATTCATAACAGTAGCAACATTACAGTTATGAAGTAGCAATGAAAATAATTTTATGGTTGGGTCACAACATGAGGAACTGTATTTAAAGGGCCAGAAGGTTGAGAACCACTGCTCTAGACCATCAGGTAAGAAATGTAAAATGTATTCTAAATTCACCAAGAATGAATATTGAACATTTATTACATAAATGGTGTAATCAGTTTGAAATATTGGAAAACTTTATCAATAGAAATGAAAAGGAAGGATGAAAGATATTATTGAGAAGGTAGGCTTCGTCTTAGGTAACCCCTGTGAAAGGGTCGTTTGACCCCACAGGGGTCGTGACCCACAGGTTGAGAACCGCTGTATTAGAGGAAGACATGACTACCCTTGTCCCAAGGTTTCCACAGGCAATTGGTTCCAGGACCCTCTGCTGACACCAAAATCCACAGATACTCAAGTCCCTTATAAGAAATGGCAGTATTTCATAGCATCTACTCGCATCAACCTCTGTATTTTAAATCATATCTGGATTACTTATAACACCTAACACAATGTAAATGCTATGTAAATAGATGTTTTACTGTATTGTTTAGAAAATCATAAGAAAAAAAAGACTGTACTTGTTCAGTACAGAGGCAACCATCAAAGGCCTAGCTACATGTTATACACATCAGCAATAATGTAGCATCTTCTCAAATATTTTTGATCTGTAGTTGGTGGAATCATGAGTAGTGTTTCAACCACTACTGGGGATACTTGGGGATACAGAAGGCCAACCTGTACAATGATGTGTAAAAATAAAGCTGACTTTTACTTTCAAATAATGTGGAGTACGAAAAAACAGATATACCTCAAACTGGAAAAGACAACAAAAAATCAGATAAATATATATGAAAGCATAATCTAGACATCAGCAATGAAAGACAAGGATTCCTGAGAAATGGGAAATAATGTGGTGAGATCTATTATTGCCCTTGGTTTCTGCATTGTAAGAGATTTTAGAAATAGGAAAGGGGAATTCAGATGGAACAAGTGGATTCCCTGAATTGCAGACACAGCGCTGAGAGAAGAGAAATCAAAGTGGCTATAATTTGCAGGACCACAGCCCTGGAGAGCTGGACAGAGAGCTCAGCAATTTACTGATCGGTGCTTGTACACGAGGAAATTACCCAAAGCAAAAAAAAAAAAAAAAAAATCACAAAGAGAATTGAGTAAGGTACTCCAAGGGCTTTGCCTCAGTAGTGAGGAATAATTAGCCCACTTAGTGAATGCTAATTCACTGGTCTGACTTAACAACTCTTCTTTTGTTATTGTTAATCCTCACCTGAGGACATTTATTTTTTCCATTGATTTTTAGAGTGGAAGCAGGGGAGGAAGGTAGGGAGGGAAAAAGAGAGAGAGAGAGACATAGATGTGAGAAAGACATGGACTGGTTGCTTCCCACAAGCAGCCCAGCTGGGCCAGAATGGAACCTGCAACCCATAAACATGCCCTTGACCAGGAATTGAAGCCACGACTCTTTTGTGTGGGGGCCAATGCTCTAACCACTGAGCACACTGGCCAGGGCTGACCTAACAACTCTTAATAGCAAAGAGGATTCAATCATTTCCATGTAATTGGCTGCGTCTCAGAACAAAACTCAAGAATTTCATTTCTAGAAATATAAAAATATTAAGAACCAAACAAGATAAAATTCATACTTTCTGGTACCATAAAATATCCTATATAATAAAGATGTAAAATGCAAATGGTCATTACGCCGTGAAGCGTAATGACTGACCGAGTAATGACTGGATCACGGATCAGCAGGAAGGTAGGACAGTGAGCTACAAGTGGGCTGCGGAGAGCTACAGGAGGGGGCAGGGCAGCAAGCTATGAGGGGTGGGGAGTGGGAGGAGGGGACGGGGGAGGAGCTACAGGAGGGTGGCAGGGAACTACTGGCTACAAGCTGGTGACTGAGAGTTACAGGACAGGGCAGGGCAGCAAGTAAGTGCAGCAAGTAAGCGGGAGGCAGAGAACTACAAGAGAGGGCAGGGCAACAAGCTATGAGGGGGGGCGGGGGGAGCTACAGGAGGGCGGGGCAGCAGGCAGAGAGCTACAGGAGGGCATCAGCAACCTACTGGCTACTAGTATAGAATAAAGATGGAATCCTGTTAGCGGGCAGAGAGCTACTGGAGGGCAGCAGCGAGCTACTGGTGTATGAATTTGTGCACAGGGCTACTAGTAATCTATAATGAGAAGAAAATCAAACAACCCAAAACCAACCCAGAACTGACAGATATTAGAATTAGCAGGTAAAAATAATTATTATAACTATATTCCAATTATAATAACCTTTTTTAAAAGTTAGAAGTATGGAAGATATAAATCAAACTTGTAGAGATGATATTAAAATGTTTGAAATGAAAAAAATCTACTGAATGACATTAATGACAGATTATTTATTGCAGAAGAAAGGATTTGTGACCCGGAAGTTCAAGCAATCATGTTGGACAACAGTCTTCCCTGGAGTTGTTGGTATTCCTGGTTGGCCCCGGACTCAGAGCAAGGACACCTTATAGATAGAGGGAATATTTAATATTCCCCAGAGATGTTTGCTTTTCAAATTTAAAGATGATAGATTAAAGGTGACTGTTTAATTTTTACTGGAAACATGTGTCTACCATGTTATCAGCATGCTAGTAAAGGTCAAAGAGCTAACAGAACATATAAACATTCTGACAATAGTCTTATAGGATATTCAGAGGCAGAAGAAGCTCTTTCCCAAGCCAGCAGGGAGCAAGCTGCTGAAGGGAAGAGAGCATACTAGTTTCCTATATAATAAAGAGCTAATATGCTAATTAGACCAGACAGTGGAGTGACCTTCCAGAATGACCTTCCAAAATGACTAGTGGGTGAGGGGGTGGGGCCTCAGGGCTGCAAGGCAGCCAGGGCTGCGGGGCCTATCCTTGCATGAATTTCGTGCATCAGGCCTCTAGTTAGTATATATTTTTCGTCTCTCCATAGTAGAAAAATTCACACATGCGCACATGTATATCCTAAAGAAGAACATGTCCCTATGTTTCAGAGGTTAAAAATCTGTCAAAAGAATTTAAGAAAAAGACCAATGACCAATGGAACATTCATGGATACCATCTACAGGCCTCTTTCTATGGAGCAACATGATGCCAGTGAAAGTGTTGGGATCTGTTGATCTAAGCCAGACATGGGCAAATGGCTCTGTCTCAAGGATGAGTCTATAAGTGAGATTGTTTAATGAGGAGGTTACAGAAAGTGGGCAAAAGGTATGACCAGAAAGTGCACAGTGCTCCATACCTCCTATTAATTGTGGGTTTTTAATGCCAAAAGGAATATAGGAGACATTTCTGTCATGTTTCTCAGAAGACACCTGGAACCGTTACATCAAGCATGTCAAACTCGTGACCCGCAGACCACATGTGGCCCACAACCAATATTTTTGCAGCCCAGCCAATATAACAGTATGTAAGAAATGTTTTAATAAAAATTCCGTAACTTAATTTTTACAATATCCTAATATACTTATTAATAATGAACTACAATGTTCGCTAATGACTGATTACTATAACCGTGTTGCATTCATTTCCCTTATGCACCTAATGCGCAGGTGCACCATTTCTCTCCACTAATACTAGCAGTGAATATTTTAGCAGCTGATCGCCATATCATTAGTCTTGGACTGACTTGTTTGGTGTGCACAACAGGAAATATTTTGCTTTCAGGGAACAAGAAAAATAGGTTTATTTGTGTTAGGCTTATTAATTTGTACAGTTATTCAGTGTCTGGTAAGTTAATGTTCAAGAAAAAATATTAACTTTTATTAAAATGTTCTATTATTTTATGTTAACGATTACTCATTTCTTTCCGCCCTTTGTATTCAGCATGACTCTATTGAAATAAACCTACGTTTCTATGAAAATTGAAGCTTTTATTTTTTTGCAGCCCATATAAACTTAAACCTTGTTTATTTGGCCCGTGTTAGCCTTTGAGTTTGACATGCTTGCTTTACATAGATTACCCCACTGTTCACTGTATTATAGAGCCGAGTAATCCCAATGTTTGTCTTAGATCCTTGGCTCAAATGTTTAATTTGGTCTACTTTTGAGATTTGAGACACATACATAAAAAACCCAAGTGAAATCATACTTTCAGAAACGTTTATTAGGAAGAATGTGGCAGGCAAAGAGGGAAGAGGACTAAAGAAGGAAGCTTTCACTATCTGATACAAGCTCAATAGGGGCAGCTCTCTGTCACCAAGAACATATGCAAGGAGGAAAAAAGGACAGGTGAGTTGTAAGAGGAGGACTGCCATGAGGGAGAAAAAGAAGATATATTCTTTCACATCCAAGTCTGCTTAACTAGCATGCTCCATCACGTAGAAACTTAATATGCCCAGAAGATTTCCTAAAGAAAGAGTAAGAATAAATATTTCATTAAATAGTAGAATGTCAGAGCTACAAATATACTTTAAAATTATCTTATCGAACACCCTTATTTTATATTTGAGAATACTTAGAGCCAGAGCAAAAGGGAGAATGGACTACAAACCAAAACTAGGTTATTGGCTTCCTGCCCAGTTATCCTTTTACAATCCTAAAATGTCACTGACAATACTATGACCTATGCAACAGTCTCTTTGAAAATGGGTTATTGAATCATAAGCTTTTTCATTGAATCAGTCCTGCATGTTAACCCTCATCTTCTCTGTCAATACTCTCACACTTTGGCTAAATTACTTAATAGTGGGGATGACCTGGGGTTTCACACTCCTGTCCTCACCCTATGCACAAAACTACAAAATAATTGTTGTGCGGAGGACTCCAGTCTGATGCCATAGGGATAATTTTTTTTTCCTGTGAAATGTACTGGCTTCTACAGAGATCAAACCTGAAGCCATGGTTTTGTGAGACCTCTGCATCTAATAACTGAAAATCATGTCACAGAAATCCAACCCCCCCTCACACACAAAACACACCCAAAACAAAACAAAAGCAACAACAAACCACAACAAACTAAACACTCACTCTTAGCTAAAGGACCCAAGCTTTGTTGTCCCCTCATTCTAGCTCAGAGTTTCAAACACATTCAAACATAGAGATTGAAGATATCTGACATTAGGCAAAACCACAACTTGTCTTAAAATCAAAGAATTTCAGGACTCTACAAGGTATTTGAAGCTTCAAGTGAAAATCCATCAGTTGGCATAGCTGTGGTCGGCAAACTGCGGCTCGCGAGCCACGTGCAGCTCTTTGGCCCCTTGAGTGTGGCTCTTCCACAAAATACCACGTGCGGGCGCACGTACAGTGTGATTGAAACTTTGTGGCCCATGCGCAGAAGTCGGTTTTCGGCCTGGGCGAGTCTATTTTGAAGAAGTACTGTGGATATTTGGCTCTGTTAACTAATGAGTTTGCCGACCACTGAATGTGAGGGCTCAGAGAGAAGAAAGGACCCGAGGAGCACCCTGAGCACAATGAGCACAATGAGTCTGCTTTGTACTCCAGTGAACTTTATATGACCACAAGCTCTTCTCAGTGGGGACTGATCATTATCTGTGCAAACTGGAGCAAATTCCTGGCATCAAGGCTGATGGCACTTGGTAGAAGAGGTAGATAGTAATTGCTGTGGGCTAAGCTTTTTCATTGTTCTCCCACCTTCCCCCAAACAGTACTCACAAGCTCTCAATACACAAGATGCAGGGGTTTTCATAGGTTACCAAATTGGTGCCACAGATCGGATGATATATACCACTGCAGGGCTTCAGTGTTCCTTTGAACCAGCTCAAGTCTACTTCCTTATATGGACATTTCACCTGCAATTGAATTGAGAAGAATGTTACAATTAGAATCACACTCATAGATAGGTAGCTCACCTCTGGACTTCATTAGGGAAATCTAAACATAGCCAAGATCATGTTCTAGTCTCCCCAAAGCTCTCACAGCTCTCCCCTCCACGAAACAATGTAACCAGAACCTACATATATCCTATCTGATAGCAACATGATAACTCCTGACAGCAATAGAGAACAGAGGCCTGCTATGCTAGAGTTGGAAAAGGAAGAATGAATAAATAGAATTTATTTGGGAAATTCAGCTTCTCTCTCAGTCTCCTTTATTCCAAGACTATTAGATCTGGGAGTATTCTTAGAGATTTTTTTTAAGCCAACTCAGCTATGAAAGCTCCATAATTGGAAAAAATGCTTTGCTGAAATCCATATGCCTTGATTTAAAATATTTACCACATTTTTTATCTACTCTCAAAATCCCCAAGCCAACTCTTATCTTAAAGTTGTGAAATGTGGGATCATTTAGAATAACTCCCTGGTTTTTTAGGGAAAATGGAAAATAAGGGAAGGAACATGTGTCATCAGGGATTAGAACCCATGTCTACTTGCAAGGCTGGTGTGAGTGATGTCTTTTCTTTTTTTTTTTTTAAATGTATTTTATTGATTTTTTACAGAGAGGAAGGGAGAGGGATAGAGAGTTAGAAACATCGATCAGCTGCCTCCTGCACACCCCCTACTGGGGATGTGCCCACAATCAAGGTACATGCCCTTGACCGGAATCGAATCTGGGATCCTTGAGTCCGCAGGCTGATGCTCTATCCACTGAGCCAAACCGGTTAGGGCGTGAGTGATGTCTTGAAGCAGTAACTCTAAGGTGATGGCTTGAGGATGGTGGTCTCAGGGGCTCTAAGAGTGCCATACAATAGATAAAGTACCTCTGATACAAGGTGGAAGAGAGTTTTGTCTTAGTATTTAGAGATAGAAAAATCATATTTAAGCTTAGAAACTCTCCCTCCTTTCCTTATCTATCCAACACCACCACCATGGCCAGGCCACCATCACCTACCTCCTGTGTCTGTCACCCAATTAATCCTTCCACTTCCTCTATTACCCCTGTCCTCTAGTTTCCATAATTTAAATATCAATTAAATAATTTTATTCTGTTTATTAAGAAATCTTTAATTACACATCATTTCACATTAAGAAATTTGTTCTTGGTATGGGATAGAAGACCCCATGTGATCTGGACCCTCCCAACTTTTCCCACCTACCTTTACACCACCTGGCTCTTTGCCTTTTTAGCGCTCTCCACCCCCAATACTCCATCTCAGGGTCTTCTGGTTTGTCATGACCACCCCCAACAAACATATTTGTTTCCCTGAACCCAATCTCATTCTGCCTTCAGAACTCAGGTTACAACCTACTGTCTCAGAGATATTTTTCAAAATACAATCCCAACCCTTCATTCTTTCTTTTTATACCTCCAATCAGTGTTTGATATATAAATATCAAATATATAAGTATTTGAGATATGAAATACTTTAGTCAGAATAAATATAAAGTAATCAAATAAAAATCAAGAATAGCTAGTATCATTGTCTATAAATGCAACTTCTTTTGCTTTTGAGTGAGAGGTGTTCATCAGGGGAGGGTTCCAATCTACTGCTGTAAGTGTAGCATCCCCTGCACACCCCTCCCTCTCTGTGACCCAGTCATCCAAGTGTTCAATCAGTATAAGCAGGGAAAGTCTTCCTCACCACTCTTCACCCAGGCAGCTACTTTTTGCCCTTCAGATCTCAGTTGAGATGTCCCCACCCCAGAGAGGCCAATATAGATCACATGGTGTATAGTAGTATCTCTACTCTTAATAGATATTCTCTATCATACCCTCTTACTTCTTGTATGTATGGAATTTACTACCAATAATAGTTGTCCCTTTCCTTTTTTTCTGGCTACTTATTAGCTTCATGAGAGAAGGCAATATGTCTGTTTTCCTCACTATTGTATCCTAAGGCATAACACGGAAGATAAGTAAATATTCCTTAAAGAAATAAGTAAAAATGAGTAAGTTGATGGGCGAGGGAGAACTCCTCCTGCAGGCAGCTCTGGAGAGTAAAATGCTAGAACTGAACTCTTTGAGATCAGAGGATAAATCCTAGACAGGCTCTGCGATCTTCTGCTGGAGCTACAGCCTCTATCAGGTTCTCACTCTAAACTATAGGTATCTTGAAGGCCAACCTCCCCTCAAAAGGCCTTTCTCACCAGTCAACTCATAACTGATTTTTTAAAAGAAGTACAACTTAAAAGTTACAAATGAGACAAAAACTTAAAAGTACAGAAACTCCTAAAGTAAAAGAGTACAATGATGCAAATGTATATTTTAAAAAAGTAATCCCTCATCACCCATTTCCATCATTTATCAAACACGTAGTAGCTTCACAATATATTTAATCCTCAGAGGAGTAGGTTAAAATGAAAAGGGTGTCCCCTTCATTTTTCCTCATCCAAGTTGCAAACACAATTTGATGCTCTGCTCATATTCTTGCACATTTTCCTCAGTCCACATCTTTGATGTTCCCTATTCACAACTTACATAGTCATTCTCTGCATGTCTCAGAGCATTTGGGAGCACCCCCTCCCCAAACTGTGAGCTCCTTGAGAGCAAAAACTGTGCTATGCCCAAGTCCGAGGGTTCTTAAGACCCTGCCCTTCCCCTGGCAATCATGGGTGCTCATAACACTTCCCAGGTACCATGAAGGTTCTCTGGTGTATGTACATATGACCAAATCTCAGCTTGGTTTCCAGTTTGAATCACTCTACTCTGGGCTCCTACACCTGCAGTGTACCTGTCATATTCACATGATTGGTCTTCTAAGAATGCAACAGATGACCTTGCTGCAGTAAGGCTCAAAAATCACAATTCCAAAGAAAACTCCATTAGAACCTCAGTCCTGGTAAGCCTAGTGAAACATTACCTTGAAATCTCCATGTGGTGGCCACCATTCTTCACGGACTGAAACCAAGACATAATTGAAAATAGTTACAAAATCTAATATCTGGTAAATCATAGCTTAATCTTTTGGCTGATTAAGAATTCTTAATCTGGCCGAAGCCAGTTTGGCTCAGTGGATGGAGCGTCGGCCTGCAGACTGAAGGGTCCCAGGTTCGATTCCGGCCAAGGGCATGTGCCTGGGTTGCAGGCACATCCCCAGTGGGAGATGTGCAGGGGGCAGCTGATCGATGTTTCTCTCTCATCGATGTTTCTAACTCTCTATCTCTCTCCCTTCCTCTCTATTCTTAATCTGGAATAAAAGAATTTTAAATTATTACCAAGGAAGCTTGCAATCATTTAAAGCATTGTTTTATTTTTCCATGTATTAACTTATTTTTTCTCAAGATGCAGAACAACCCCTCTTCTCCTGATAGATAATCAGTAGAAGACTATGTAGATGCCTTGCTACTCTCATAAACATTGCCAATCCAGTATATCAAATTACTTTTGAAGAACAGGAGTGGATTCAGAACTGGCAGCCCACGTATGGAAGAAATTAAGAAATACTAGAATTTTAAAGAGGCCTTTAAGCCCAATCCCCCTATTTCACAGAGAGGGGAAAGGCCCTTGTTATGAAATGCCCAGGAATTCATGACAGATATGTAAAAAATCAAGCTCTTCAGTCTCAAGGAACTTTATAACTCTCTACATGACTCTTCTCTAGAAAAGGACCTGAAAAATAATGACCCACTCAGATACATGGAAAAGCTTTTTTTTTCCTTTTTTTTTAAAGCATTTTCAACAGTACTGAATTTCTGAGATGTGCTGCCATGTAAGCACATTGTCAGTCACTTTCACAGGTCACCTCATTGAATTACCCAAGCTCCTGGTCCCCAAGAATTAAGTCTCATAATCTGCATTAGTGGGTGGAAAAACCAAGGTCCCTGTCCCTTAGCCCAAAGCCTTTTTTTTAAGGGGGGGGGTGGACCACACTCCATTGTCTCTCTTTCTATATATAGATACAGATATACAGATACAGTAAAATGACATAAATAAATAAATAAATAAATAAGAATTTCAAAGCATTCTATTTCAGATCACAATGAATGTTAGAGCCCACAAATCCACTTTACATTCCTGCCAGAACCAGCCAAATTACTCACCAAATGGTACCACCCGATGGATCAGCATGAAGAACAATAATGAGCAGAGTACTGGGAAAGATTTGGGCATCTTTCCTCCTGGTGTGTTCTTAAAATGATGCTCTGAGATGTCTCAGGACGTTGTTCTCTACTGCAATCACCAAAGTAGAAATAATTGGAATACCAGCTTCGAAGTGAATATCCATCTCTAGTCTGCCCATTGTAAATTCTGCATATGGCACTTGGAATGCCTAATGCCACCCTTCCCCAAGAACAAATGCTCAGGAAAAGTTAAAATTTTGGCTAGTCACAAATAAAAGTATAGACCTCAGTGACAGATCTGTGACTACTCAGAAGACAGAAGTTAGTCAGCGATAACTCTTTGAACATAGTTGTATTATTTTAGTATAGAGGCATTTTAAAGTGTCCTGAAAAGTCAACTTCTTACCTCAAGACTCATCCAATTGTTTTTTCTTTAAGAAGCTACAGAGAAAATGATGAGGCCACTAGAGGCTTCTAGACAAAAGCTTCTCAACAGAGGAAGCATGTCTGTATGGTTCATGAAGCAGAGGCTATCCCTGGATTAAGATAAAGATTACTAATCTTCCAGGCATCCTTGGTTATGCTGAAAAATCTTCTGACTGGGAATACTAGACTATCTTAAAGCATTCTTGGAGAGTCCACAGGGATAAAAACCATTACCTGCCATCTCATGGGGGCCCCAAAGCTCTTTTTATCCAGACACAGAAAGGGATACATCAGTGAGCAAACCCTCCAGTGGGATTGCCTTCCCTGTAGCAGCTTTTCCAACCCTAGAGAGCGATGCATACAGGTACCAGAGCTTGATCAAGGACCATATTGAACTGTCCCCGTCTTTCTAATCCTGCAAAAGTGCCCTGGTCCTCCCTATGTCCTTTGGGCCTTTTTTTTTCCTGCTCTGTAGCATATGTCAATAGGAAATTCACATAAACTCTCTGCTGCTCTGCTGTGCTGAGACATGAAAGGTCTCCTCAATACTCCACTGCCCAGAATGGTTGGAGGTCCCTGGCACAAGATCCAGAGCTGTCTCCTCTGCCTGCTCCTGAGACAATCGGAAACACCATGCCTTTTTAGGTACTCCCCCATTTCTCCCTGAGGCCTTGCCTCGATTCCTGCAGGAACGGAGCAGAAACAGTGGGAGATCCAACTGTATGGATGCACAATGCCAGATGCTCACTTGTCCTACAGCATATGGCCCAGTTGACCCACCTTAGAAAAAAGAGAAAAGGAAGGGAGATGTGACTTGCTTTTTTGACTGGTAACTCATTTAAGGAGCATGTGTTAGGGCCTCAGGAGGGGATAGAGTAGCTGTGTGGGAGGAAGGCACTGAGGCATTGTGTGCTGGGCTGAGCAGACCTTGGGAGGCCCAACATTTAGATCCATCAACATCAAACCTCAGCAGGGGGCTTTGGTGAAGAAAGCATGAAGCTGTTTGGAAGACTTGGCGGGTGGGCAGAGTAGCCTTTGGCAGGCATTCCGAAGAGGCAACAGCATGAGGAAACAGTAGGAACGAACACAGTAGAAAGAGCATATCATGTTCCACAATGCTAATGAGCACCTTCAGCCAGAATGCAAAATGTGCAAGCAGCTGAAGAACAGAGCAGGTGGCAGCGACAGATGAGGTGATGGATGCCATTGGCAGTCCAGTGTCTTTGCAGTTGTGCAACAGGGAAGAGATGTTATCATACCTGAGTTTCTTCCTGTTACCTGAACTTTCTGCCTCTATCTTCCTTTTGGTAAAGAACAATTGTTCTTATATCAAGGAGTAAATGTTAACATTAGAAAATAGGAAAATAACCAAAAAAAAATGAAGATGTGAAATCTTAAAACCCCAAAATAACTATTAAATATATATTGAATTATTATATCATTTCAGTTCAATGTGTTCCTTGATCAAGCTCTGGAACCTATATGCATAATTCTCTAGGGTTGGAAAGGCTGCTACAGGGAAGGCAATCCCACACTCATGAGCACATGTACATGTTCCTATTGTCATATTTAATCACATTTTTGTGGTATATATTGTTTTCTGCTTTTTTTCCACTTAGAAATGTACTGTGACATTTTCTTGATCTTTTGAAGATGCCCATATGTGACTCAGTTCCCTTTAAATGGTGGTGCCTAAAGTATATATGTTATTCCTAGCCTGTTCTGATTAGTTTATAGTATTGTGCGTTCTCACTCTATCTTTCTCCAAACCTGAATTTTCCACTTTTCATTGGTGTAGCAAAAAATAATATAAGACTATGGTCAGATCCACCCTTTGACACATTAACTTAAAAATTCTGAGTTGTTTTAAAATGGGATGCCATGAGCATATTCTTCACTCACGAGTATGTCTATAACCTCTCTCATTCCCAATTTCAGTAGGATTAGAAGAAATATTTTTGTGTGATTTATAGTTCAGGAAAACGACCACAGATACTCTCCTTAAGACAAGAATCTCATACACGGAGACAAGCCAGACAGTTACTGCTGAGATTCTTTTATTGAAGAATTAAATCCATATATTTGTCCCACAGCATCCCCGGGAAACAGGTTCTCTATGTGGAATCTGCTAAAGGAAACTTGGTGAGCTTGAGCATCAGCGAGACTCGCATTGTCCATAATTGGCCAAATAAAGGGCACCACGGCTCTTCCTACAAAAGAAATCATTTTTTAAAAGAAAGGTAAAGATTTTGGAAATCTTAAATTAAAAGTTTCATATTTTTAGATCAGTCCAGTCAAATGAGTACACAGCATGAAAGATGAACAGTTAGCCACTAAGCTTAAGCAAGGTTAATTTAAAAAAACTTCAATGTGCTAGTAAAAACCAGTGTCAAGAGCCCCCTCCCCCAAAAAATTCTGTGAATTTTTCGTTTGTCTGTCATTTAAAAAAACTGTAAGAAGTCTCTCATTTTCTAGCTTCCATTTCTTCCTACTATCCACTTTCTCTCTTCCTCTCTCTTTCCTTCTTCTTTTTATAAAACATTATGATCATCAGTGAACCATCTCACTCTTATGCTTCATAGCAGCATCTTACTTGGAAGCCAAGATTGTCTCTGGCTCTCTGAGAAAGGCTATTTCTGCAAATAATATTTTGAATTCAGCACTTACGCAACACCGTTGCAAAACAAACATTTGTTGGCATATTCTACTCCATCAGATCCACAGTGAGGCATATATTCCATGGTGCATGCCTCAGAGAATTTGGTGCATTCAACCTGCCCATGTCCCCCCCAAAAAAAAAGAAAAAGAAAAAGAAAAGAAAGAACAATTTCAGATCATTAAACCATAGAAAATAAACTTTTGAAAGACCTTGAAGGATTATTTAGTTCAGAATTCCATATTCAAAACAACATTCTCCGAAGTTTATATAATCTGACCTAACAATGGTGGGACGACCATCACAGCAAGGGAGAGCTCAGTTCAGGTATAAGGCTTCCCTCTCACTCCTCTACATTAGAGTGACAGATACATCCTCTGGATTCTATCTTGTACTTAATTTCCAAATTAGTCCTCTCCTTACCAGACTGTCGTTCCCTTTAATCCAGCCCTCAATAGGTCCTGCCTACACATCTGCAGTTATCTGCCAATGTACTGCCCAGCCTCCATGCTTTATTGGGGATTTCAGTCCTCCTCCACATTGATGCAGAGTGATTTTTTTTTTAACAAATCAACTTAGATCTTGTTCTTCAAAAACTTAACTGACTTCCCCATCAACAGAAAGTCCCCTCATTGACCTGTGCTTATCTCTCCATTCTTATCTGCTCTGCCACTTACTCGAGGCCATTTAAGGACTGAATTCCCTGAGAGTCTCCTGCTCCTGAAAGTCCCTGTGACTTTGCTTATGGTGTTTTTCCTCTTACATGACGTTACCCACTTTATCCATCAACCCAGCTCCTGTTCCACCTTTAAAGTCAGGTCACGGACTTTTATAAGTTTCTCTCTCCCACCCATGGAATTGGGTTAGGTACCTCTCCTTAAATTAAACTGTCTTTTACATGTTAACAGTTCTCCTATCTTATTCTAATTATTGACATCCCACTCACATAGCTCTTTACCCCTAAATTATCTCTATATTTCTTTTGAATTTTTTGTGCTTTTAAAAAATAACTTTCATTATTGTTATGAGAATAACCTTGAGTCCCTAATTCCCTTGAACTCCTTTTTGTAACCTGCTAATTAGTTGCAGTGTTAGAAAATAAGCACGTGGCTCAGCCAGCGTGGCTCAGTGTTTGAGTGTTGACCTATGAACCTGGAGGTCACAGTTCGATTCCCAGGCAGGACACATGCCCAGGTTGCAGGTTCAGTCTCATCGTGGATGTTTTTATCTCTCTCTCCCTCTCTCTTCCTCTCTGAAATCAATAAAAATATTTAAAAAAAATAAAATAAAAGAAGCACTTGTATACCAACCTGCCCCAATTAAGGGCTATGAGTAAAGTTTCTGAAGTCCTCCTCTGGGTAAATAAATTAACTGTCCTTCAGGTCATCTGTTTAGGCTGGCCAAATGTCTTACCTATGACCATACATGGTATAGATAATTTTTAAATGACATATCTTAAAATAGTTTTTCCCATAGGAAAATGAGGAATTAGTGTAACATTTTATATTAAGAATAAATAAAATTTCTGAATATACTTACACATTGCCCATCATGAAGTTTTCTGAGTACAACTCCTCGTTCTCTGAAAGAGAAAATTTTATCTAATGGGTAAAGCAGTTACTTGATATTTCATAACCTACAGAATAAAATACAGTCATATGTCATTCTGTGTTGTCTGACCGGGACTGAGAATGAGGGGTTCTGGTTAATAGTCTACTCCAGTTGACTAATATTGACCATTAATATCTTTGGTGGGTAATAAAACATCCATCAAATAAAAACATAAGAAAATAAGATCAACACGAAAAGGACTATTAAAAAATAGTCCATGAATATTCAGATAAAAATCAAAGGAATAGTATAGTGTGAGAACATTTTTGCAGTTAAGAAAAAATGCTCAAATCCATTTCTGACATTAGTGTGGGTAATTTTGTTACAGCTATTTCTCCTTTCTGAGTTAGATTCC